CTACACATGTTGGGTATCGCCGCGCACGCCGGAGTGAGAGCAATAATTCTAGGGCCAGTATTTTGGGGTATCTCTAAATTGATGACCTGTGGGGGCTTTTAAAGCGTCTTCTATTGACTTTTTGGGGTACTGCAGTTTTTCGCCTTTTCACGGACGCACGCAATTTGTAACCTATGCATGTTGGGTATCGTTTTACTCGTTGTAACCTCATCTTTTATATGTCATTTAAAAAATTGGTATTTCGTTGTGTTTTGGGGCATTAAATTAAATTTTTCACTAAATGTTGGGGTTTAATAAGGAGTTGCGCTAATATTGCGCAACATAAAAATTTGCAACTACCACCATTTTATTCTATAGGGTCTTGGCATTCAGAAAATATATAATGTTGGGGGGTTTTAAGTCATTTTCAGGCCTAAAATGTGGAATATAACATGGGTGCAAAAAATGAAAAAAGGGTTAAAGTGACACTAAACTCAGGAGTTAAATCTTAAAAATGTATTCCAGTACCTGAACTATGAACAAAAATGTATCTTATTTGTGTATCACCCGGCTGTAGATCCTCAAATCATCTCTGAATCTGTGCAGACACTGTCCTTCCTTCTGGAGGGTGGCTACTGTTGTTCCCCATGGTCCCTGTGTCTGTTATAAAGTAGCCACCACTCCAAGCTCACTCCTGTCATAAGACTGTAACTAAACTATAACTATTAGCTAACTAAATGTGAGATTGTAGTCCATCACAGGAGTGAGCTTGGAGCGGTGACTACTTTACAACACACACAGGGATCATGGAGAACAAAAGTCGCCACCCTCCACCAGCACCAATTCAGAGATGATTTCAGGATCTACAGCCGAGTGATCCACAAATAAGATACATTTTTGATAATAGGGCACTTAAATGCATTTTTAGGATTTCATTTCTGAGTTTAGTGTTGCTTTAAGGTTAATGGGTAAGAAGTAAAGAGCCCACCCATGAGGGCGAAGCACAAAAATTTGAGGTAATGGAAGTTTGGATTAGATTAAGTTAATCCTAAAACAACTGAATAAGGTGTCGATGTTTGGTCTTCTTTTAGATCACTGAGTGTTAGCAGGAACTTGCATACTCTGTGGCAACCCCACTATTTAATAATCATGAATTACCTTAACCCCCTGCCAAATTACGGACGGACAGTGGATCCTTCCAGGCTGTTGGACGTACATGTACGTGATTTTTTTTTCTGCTTGCGCGCCCGCTAAGGAAGGTAACTAGCTGTTTTATTACCGGCTGTTTTATACAAGCGTTCGGCCGACTCTATAGCCGGCCGATCGATTGTATAGCCCTGTAGTGTGCAGTGCCACCCCCCCCCACGTCTCCTTTGCCGCGGCCGGTTATCCTGGGCACCGCTGTTCCCCCTGCCGTGCCCGGGACCAAGAGGACCAGCTCAGCATTCAACGTGGGGGGCATGCAACGGTGCTGAAGCATTTTTTACCCTAATGCAGAGAATGAATTGATATAAAAAAACGCATAGCCTTTAGTATTACTGGACAGGAGGTTCAAGGAAGTAAAGCTGAGAGGGTTTTAGCTGTTCAGAAACATGGTGTCTGTAAGTGCTTCAGCTAAAATGTTAAGAAATACTTTGCTGGGCAATGTACACTGAGTGGCCAGATTATTATGACCACCTGACGCTTGTAGGCAAATTAGCTATAATTTCGCGCTGAAGTTGCTAGAGGGCCAGACCATTATAAATAGGGAAGCAGGTTGTTTACCACGACAGTAGAAGTGATTTTTTTCTGAAGATATGGGTAAACAACGCGATTTAACAGCCTTTGAACGTGGGATGATTGTTGGCGCTCGGAGCCATGGAGCGAGTATCAGCAAAACAGCAGAATTCGTTAAATGTTCAAGAGCAGCTGTTGACTGTCAGCCAAAAATCTGGGTCTGAACGTGCAAATTGTGGCCGTCAGCGACTAGTCAATGTTAGGGCAGAACGGACAGTGGCAAGACTGGTACAAGACAACAGAAGGGCAACAGTGCAGTGTCAGATTCCTCACATCACCTTTCATCAACATCTCGTGGAGTCACGAGGCGGCCCAACGAAGTCATCTCGTGGAGTCATCTCGTGGCCCAACGAAGTACTGATGGGGTGCTCATAATAATCTGGCCACTCAGTGTATATACAGTACGTCTGAACTGGATTCATCATTCAAAAAAGTATATTAGTACCATATTGCATTATAGAATGTCTACTTATAACAAGCAATCACTGAGAAACAAATCACCACAAATTGTAGAAACAACAAGTAGCAGCGCATCTCCTTTTCTTACTGAATTTAGTTTCAACCTCGTTGTTCACAAACCTCTTTGAGTGAGCTCAGTGTGAATTTTGCAATTCCTTTTAACACGCCTGCAGACATTTAACTTATCTCCTTGATTTGTTTTCTGTGTCCACTGTATGTATCCCACTGAGTGCACACAAGAATACAGTACTTCTCATTTGACTTTTTGCATGTGTACTGTGAGCACCCTTCAGTGGTTTCTTTAGGAAATCCATCCAGAATCAGTTGGGTAAGATCATTTTTAATATGTCAGCCCCGATTTAGAACTAGCAGGCAGTTTGCTCTTCTCTACATCGTTAATGATTTATGATACCAATACTAAATAAATGTGTAAAACAGATTCTGATAAATCAAAGCGTCTGGCCCTTATCTCCAGTCTTGCCCCAAATGTGGTCAAGTAGGAGCCAGGTCAGAACATTGCTTATGGGAATCTCCATGCATTTCCCTTTCTGAAATACCAATATCACCTACCTACTTTGTATCCAGAGGGCTGAGCTTGTCAGAGACCCATGGATTTGTTTGTTTGATAATTGGTCCCCCCACCCATCTCGACAAAGCACAAATAGATTGGATCCACATTTGCTTCCATTGGCATGAAGAGAAATTATGGCCTTCTGGTTGTCAACCTTCTAAACTCCCTAATCTCCTAAATGTCATCAATACATGTGGAAAGCAAGACTAGATGGGAAAAAAAAAGAAAAGTGCCCTCTTACTACATGACAGCTAGGCTGAGTAATATAATTCTGGCAGGGACAGGTCCTCATAGTGTTTTTAACGTGGTGAAACCAGCATTTCCAATTCAGTGGTTCACAGATGGCCAACAATCTCCCGGCCTACCTGCAGATTGTACAAATCATTACTCCCAGTTGCCGAGATAAATGATCCTCATGATACACTGCAGTTAGCACAACACTCGCACATTTAAGCGAATCATGACTTGCCTGCAAAGTATTTGATATACAGTAAAAACATACATTGATTCAGTCATTTCCATTCCTGTTCAGTAAAGCTTGTAATCCAAGACATTTTTAGATGACAGAAAATGTAAAACTGTAAGTTGCGTCTTTCTGAATATTGAAGTAGACCATGTTCTAACAGCATAACCAACATTCCCTTTTCAGCTTTAAAAAACTTCTGGAATATTTATAACAAAAACCTACATGTATAAATGTATAAATGTGAAATTATAGTAGGCTTTCCGATGTGAAAGCCCAGCAATGGCTTTGTACCATTTGGCAGCCCGTGTATACAGTAGTTGTCTATACCAAACTTTCTCAACTGGCACCCTGGTGTGCCTTCTGCTTTCCTCAGGGGTGCCTCAAAATTTATGTACGGCAGTGACGTGCAGTACCCCTGGTTCTGGGTGAGGCATTGCCCAGCCTCGCCCCCAGCACTTCGCGCCCCGCTCCCCTCGCCGAGCGAAGCCCTTCCCCCGCCGGCCAAAACCTCGCCCCAAGCTAGTGTGAAGGAGGAAGGAAGGAGACAGGGAGAAGCCTCCCTGTCCCTCACTTGCTCGTCACTGCTGAGGCATCGAGATCGATGGCCTCAGTGGGGTTTTTTTTCTTTTTTTGATTGGACAGCTTGGACCAATGGCGCTTTGCCATTGGTCCAAGCCATCCACAGAGCTCACGCCTCTAACAAAGAGTAGAGCCTGTGACAGCTCTTGCCTCAATAGTTAGGTAACACAAGCAGTGGGAAAGCCCACTGCTGTGTAACCCAACTACCTGTCAAAAGCCGGATGCAGCGCTGTCTGTAATTAACAGGCAGCACTCCGTCCATGAAGGTTACACAGTGGGGAGGATTTCCCTGCTGTGCAACCTGTAACGAGCCGATCTGAATGGAGAAAAGCTGTCAGCTTCAGACTTGAAGCTGACAGTTTTTTCCTCCATAATACTAGGTGAGGCTCTGCCTCCCCTGACCGTCCCTGATGTCTTTCCATGGTGCAGGTGGGCTTCTATGTGAAAGGGGGGCTTCAGATGTGATGGGGGGGGCTCCTGATATGAAGAGGGACTCTAACCTGAAAGGCAGAATCCCCTTTTTTGTGTTTTGTGTGGGGTCTACCTCTGTCTGGTATAAGGGTCTGGTATGGATTTTGTTTGTTTTTTGGAGTTTGTTTTTTTTACATTTAAAGAGTGCCGTGATTGAAAAAAGGTTGAGGTTGCATCTCTGTACCATTGAGGTAGCTGCGCGTCCTGATCTCTCCAGCTCAGCTGGACTGTAAAAAAGCTGCAAAAAGTTGTTGATCCTGCCTGTAGCTCACTATTTACAGGATACATCCGAAATATTGATATATTACCATGCCTGATCAAAATAAATGTTTATAGTTTTTCATATTATGAGTAAATATGTTAATTTACCTTGTTTGTATTGTCTTTTTTTTAGACTGAAGCACCAACCAGAGCAGGACGGGCAAGCTTCCAGCACAGACTGCAGAGCACACAGCCAGCAACACACGAAGTCTCAAGATGGACACAGCACAAATAACAACATCTTAGTACATGGCTGCACGAGAGGTTGCAGCAGCTAGTGCACAGAGTACAATCTAGAGACGGTAATGGAGCCCCGTTTGCATGCCTTCACTCAGAAACATGGACCGCTCTTCGAAATGTGAATTATTACCAAGTTTTCAAGCACAGCTCTTAAATGAGTTTGTTTACGTGTGGCACTAAGATTCTTTTTTTAAATGAGAACTCCAAGCATCAAACAGTCACTAACATAAAAGAGAAACCTTCAAGTGTCCTGGGATAAAACTTGAACTTATACTAATTTATTTTTTAAATCTCTGAATATTAAGGCAATGCGTACGCGGAAATGAAATCTTCTGTAACCATAAGCTTTAGATTCATGTCATGCAAAGAAAGCTCCACTTTCCAGTTCCAGGTTCTTTTAAAAGGGAAAATATTTGGTTTTGTATTTGTTGAAAAGCAGAACCTAACCTCCTGTTCTCTTTTATTATCAGACATTTTACACTAAAGGAGGCTCACCAGAGGTTACCAAAAGTGTTCTCCAGTAGGGTTACTGGACAGGAAATCAATTGGAAATTAGATGTATTGAGCTTTTCCCTAAATCTGTGGACTCATGTATAGTAGCTCCAGTTCCTTAGCAGGCACCTTCAGGCCTATGCTGGCATCTTCAAATGACTTTCAAACCACCCTAGGTTAACCAGAACCCATTTTGGTTGTAAATGGCAAATAGTGCCAACTTGGTCATGCACTTGCTCCCTGAACTTTCGTATTGGCCAGGCAGGCCAGCCATTACATTGGTGCCAATAGGAAGGCACAAAGTCCAAGAAGGAGGTAGGCTATATTGTGGCCATATCAGCAAAGGACACTCTTGCCACACACCCAGTTACACAAACCACAATACTTGATGCACAAAAACCCCACAAGCACTTTTTTTACCAATACTTTTCCTTTATGCTGGCTTTTCAGAATAAGAAATGCAATAGGCTGGATGAAAGATTTAGTGCAGAGTGGGTAGTTGAGTAATACCAATTTTTGTAGAGATCTATATTAAAGAGGGACAACAAAGGAGGAAAGAGGGGCCTAGAGATTTGGTTCCAAAAGAAGAACAGCCTCCCCAAATGAGGAAGAGCTAGGAGCTATGGATACCCGGAGGTACTTGCCTTTAGAACATGGGGCCACTTCATCAAGTAAGAAAGGCCCACAGTCTTGCTTTAAGATGATCACTGTGTAAGTTTCTTTTAGAGTCCCTTAGAAGGGAGCCTGTTGTAATGCATTTGTTTCATGTTAAATAATCTATAACAAATATTCCTTTGTGAAGCACAAGGAAGACAAGCCTGACACAAAACGTCAACCCATCTGTTTAAACAAATTCATTTAGACTAAGAACAGCGATATTTAATTTGGCTGATGAGCAGCCATAGCACGGGCTGTCAGTAACAGTGTCTATGTTGATGGCATTGTTATCACACTTCCAGTCACAGGCAAGTAAGGCAACAAGATGAAGACTGAATTTCAAGCAGGTCATAACTAAATGAGCTTCTAGTAATGACTGTTAAATAAGAATTGTCTGTGCTGCTCAGAGCTGTGGGATGACGGTGGTTATTCCAACAATTCCAAGCCATGCTCCTAATTTTGAGCATTGCTTATGATAATAATCTCCTTCGGAGGTTGGAATTGCAAATGATCTGACAGGGAGATTTGTTCAGCTTGTTATAGAGAAGAGGAAAGGATCAAACTACTGCATATGCATTGCTGTCAATATTGTGGTGGGACACAACATTCAATCGAACCTTCTAGGATAGATATATACTGTATGTTCCTTCCTAGCAATCTTCAGCAGGTATCTGCCCATATATAGCCAACACAAATCTTCTTTAGGGCCTCTGCAATTGGGCTTTTGTTTGCTTCAAGCGGCATTCCAATACAGATCTGCAGAAGCAGGTAACATTCAGGTCAGAAGAGGTCAACAGTAGTTCAAATGCACCATTCAATGCATTCTGAATTATTTCAGAATGTCAAATGGATGCCATCGGCATAAGCTCAATGACAAAGGCCATTAGACTTTTCTGGTTGGTGCCTGTGGGCAACATGGAAACCTATTTAAAACACAATGGAATAGTAGTCAAGCTATGTCCAATGACAGGGTCAAATTATTGTTTGTATCAATATTATTATTATACAAGGTTTATATAGCACCAACAGTTTGCGCAGCGCTTTACAAAACAAGGAAGGCATTACGGTTACAATACAAATCAAAAGAAGATAGTAAGGAGCTATTTTACAATGACAGGGACCAATTACAGTACAATGCAAGATCCACTTATAAACGCAGATGGAAGAGTTCTGGGTTTGCCTTCAGAGATTCTCTAAGGACTCTCTAAGAAATTACTGAATCTTGATTTTGATGAGCAAATTTCCTTTCATTGGGTTCATCTCTGTTGTGGTATTGCCACCCTTTCCTGCATGTTCCTGTGTTGGACTTCTAGCAGCCATGCAGATGCCCAGTGTGCTATCATGTTCTGCCATATTCTCCACAGTACAACTGACATTGGGATGCCAATGGAAATGAATAAAAAAATCATACAGCAAGAATGCAGGATGTTCAAAATGCAGGGGAAAATGTGTTACAGATTTACTCATACAATTATGTGTTTACTATACATGTAGCCGCCGCAAACAATTTGTTTCGTTTTGGATGGATTCAGGTTTTTATTTTTATTTTTTTTCAGATTTCTGATCCGAAATTCGATTCTGTGCGTTATTCGGATTTCGTATCCATCAGAATTTTTATTTAGAAAAGATCCACAGCAGGAAGTCACATGACCGTGCCTGTAATGCAACCCCCAACAGCCAAAAAAACCCATCTCATTGGCCAGAGAACAGTCACATGTCTGATTTAGTTTCGTTTTGAAGGACATTCGGACGGATATGCATTTTCAGATTCGGACGTGTTCAAATTCGCATGCATCCGAATGTCTGAATTAAACCAAATTCACATGAATATCCACTCGGAACCAAACTAAATGCACATGTCTAGTGTTTATGTTTACTACATGTTTACTAGACATGTGCAAATGATAAAGATTTGTTTTGGACAAAATTAATAAAAACTAAAAACATTTTCATTTGTTTCATTAAACAGAACAAATTTTTATGCTATTTCGGATTCAGAGGCAATGAACCTCTGAATCCGAAACTGCACATGTAAAGAAAATAATGCTTGCAGAGGCGGAGCGCATGACGGTACATGACTTTGGTGACATCACACGCTTGTTGGGCACTGTCATCTCGGTGTAAATCTTGGTATACACCAAGATGGCAGCGCCCATACTCGCGTGTGACATCATGTGCCACTCCTCCAAGATGTTGGCACCCATGTACAGAACTCGCCAGTGGCCAATATGGCCGCAGAGTGTTCTGTTAACTAATTATTATGTGCACAATATGTTTTTCGGATATTTGGGCATATAATAATTTGTTCATTCGGCTGCTGACGAACCGCCGAATCAATGGAATTTCGTTGATTTGCTGGTTTGTCCAAATCTGAATGCACATGCTAAGAGTCCCATGAAATGAGCATTCAAGGTACCAAAGGAATGTTGGGTAGGGCTTTCCAAAAAGCTTATTAGATGTTTTTAATTTAGATGACAATTTTTCCCCAGAAACCTACCTGAGAATGTTACAACTGATTACACCTTCTGTAATTTATAATCACCAGCCAAAGCTTCCTCCTTAAAAATTTGCTCAACATCATACAAATTGCCCGGTTTGTGTAATCATGACAAATACAATTGTGTGATGCCGCCTTCTATACCTCCTCCTCTTGAGTGACACAGGCACTGTGACTCATGTTAACAAAATCGTAATTGCTCAGAACTCCTCCATTTGTGCCCTCTCAAACCTACAAAATTAACTTTTGTCTTATCTTGGCTAGGTCAGTAACAATCTCCTTCCTGGGTGATTTATAAGATACTGGCAGGGATTAAATGGATTTATCAAAAACTCTATTAAAATGTGCTTTTAAATAGATAGTTCCTTTATAGCCCGTTTAGTGTCTGATAAAACTTTAAAGGTGTTCCATTTCCACAAACCAACCCAGGATTCATTTTTTTGAAGGACAATTTTGGTCTCCTCCATTTTGAAGCTGTGCCATATAAAACTATTGGACTGTACAAATGCCACATTGTGAGATATTCACAGGACATGCTGTATCATTGTTCCGTACTTAGTGGTGTTACGTCTACGTGGAGTCACACATTTGCGAGTTTGGCTCCTCTTATGTATAACCTTTAGTGTGTGTTTTTATGTATGTATATAAACCACAAGAATCTCCTATCCTGCACTTTGGATATTTGCTCTCTACTGTTACTTTACAACAACAGCTTAGGAACTGATACTGTGACAATGGACATTGGTAAATGTATTTATACAGTGTCCTCACTTTCTTAAAGTAATACTAAGCCTCGAGTATGAAGCTCTGTGTTGCCTGTAGAAGCCAGATTGACCATTTTCATTTTGTAATTTGTACAACAACCATGATGTTAGTGGTGACGGAACCAGGGTCCCAGCAGGTGCAGCTAGAACAAGGCTCCTGCTCCAAAGGAGACCACTGACAGTTTCCTAACCACAGAGCTCCTCTACTGCCCCATTGTTTACTTATGTTTAGTCAGTGAGTGCAAAACCAGATGTGCTGGATCCTCCACTGCAGGGAATCTACAGGGCCAATGTTTCAACATGTGTCCCCCTACTTATATTTGCTTCCTTAAATGACATCAGATCACATGACCAAATGTAAGGGATGTGTTACTGCACCGAATGTGCTCTTCATTGGCCTAAGTACACAGCATATCAGTAAAGTGTTCGTAGGGTGCCCAGAAAAGGTGCTCCCTGATATGAAATTTGCCCCAGGGTCCTTTCCTATGTAGCTACACCCTTGAAAGGAGAATAGGTTTGGTTGTCATGGGCAAGGTTGTACTGGTCATTGAAGGATCTACATAGTGTACTTTTACATATGTGGCTCAATATTTTTTTGTTCACAGTGATCCTTTCACATAAAAAGTGTAAAGGGAGGAAGTACTAAGGAATAACTGCAGTGGGTGTAACTGTCCCTGGGCCTATGACATCACAGGAAACAAGTATGTCTACCTTTTATTTATACAGAATGAGAGACACGGATGCAGGAAAGAGTTGAGTTGTTATGCTTGCCCACATAGAGAAGGGCTGTTTAGTGATCTGCAGCCTTCAACTCATAATGCTCAACAAAAAAGGGAATGAGTGTATAAAGCCTTGGGCCTTATCAGGAATCAGGCATGAAAAAATGTGCCAAAGAGACTGATTCACTTATACAAGTATCTATAACAGGGATAGGTGACCTTGGCACTCCAGCTGTGGTAAAACAACAACATCATCCCTGTGCCTCTGGGAGTCATGCCTGTGGCTGTCAGAGTCTTGCAATGCCTTGTGGGACTTGTAGCTTTACCACAGCTGGTGCCAAGGTTTCCTACCCTTGATCTTCGACTACGCTTAAATCCAAGTCCAGAGCTCAGTTTAAAATATTCTGTCTGCATTAGTAATTGGGATCCAAATGACTGATAATGTCTTAGGAAGGATTTGCATCAGATATTAGAGATAGGCCCATTGCTAAGATTTTGCCCCAGTGGCCTTGGACATTAAAGCATGTGTGTTGACCATAACAATGAGATTCCAAGCATAATTTATAAATTCATGTTACAAAATGAAAAGTGACATCTGATTGGTTGCTATAAGCAACACTTTCACTTCCTCTTTCCTCCATTTGTTACACAAGAGGCCTACCATGTTTACGCTTGTTATGTGTTTACCGTATTTTGAGATGTGATGTCACCCACTTGTCAAATATTGTTTTAATTGTTCCAAATTTTTAAACAATTTTAGATTTCTCAATAGAGGCACTAATTTCTTTACAAGCTTTTCTATATTTATTGTATCATTTTGTATCTTTATTTTATATAAAATATTTTTTATTTATATACAAAAGCTGTTTTTTAATTATTTCACCATTTATTATTTGTATCATAATTTCATACAAGTATTTTCTTTCCTTTTTTTCCCCATCACAATGGACTGCCCATGTAATAATAATAATAATGTGTTGTAGTATAATAAAGCATGCTTTTTATTTAACCAGAACATAAGTAAATCATGTATAATTCTGTACAGAAGAAAAGCACAATGTCTACAAGAACACAATTTCAAAGTTTTGGTCAAATAAACTGTTTATTGCTCAACTCTTGTACTCGGCTTGTCATTCTGATTACGGCGTTTGATATACTAAATTCATTTTTGCATTAATACAGATCAGCCTTTCTCAACCGTGGCACCTTGGTGTGCCTTCTGGCTACCTCAGGCGTGCCGCAAAATTGTGTGGAAGGGGGATTGTGATGGAGAATGAAGAGGTGAAGGGGGCTCCTGATGTAAATGGGGAACTCTGATATGAAAGAAGGGCTCTTGATGTAAAGGACTGAAAATAGGTTGAGAAACACTGATATATATCCTTGGTTAGCAACCTGTGAGCCAGGGTGCCAAATGGTTTACCACAAACACTTTTCTTGAGGTCAAAGAATATTAAATATGAAATACCATGCAAAAGATTTTGAGCACCTAATGTATACAGTACAGCCTGGATGAATGCGCGGGTGGGTGGATGTAGACTGAATGACTGCTGGTATAGTAGGATGGAATGACAGATGACTAGGTGAATGGATGGATGGAGACTGAGTAGATGCTGGTATAGTAGGATGGAGAGAGACTGAGTAGATGCTGGTATAATAGGATTGAAGGATGGAAAGAGGCTGAGTAGATGCTGGTATAGTAGGATGGAAGGATGGGTAGAGACTGAGTGGATGCTGGTATAGTAGGATAGTAGGATGGAAGGATGGGTAGAGACTGAGTGGATGCTGGTATAATAGGATTGAAGGATGGAAAGAGGCTGAGTAGATGCTGGTATAGTAGGATGGAAGGATGGGTAGAGGATGCTGGTATAGTAGGATGGAAGGATGGGTAGAGACTGAGTGGATGCTGGTATAGTAGGATGGAAGGATGGGTAGAGACTGAGTGGATGCTGGTATAGTAGGATGGAAGGATGGGTAGAGACTGAGTAGATGCTGGTATAGTAGGATGGAAGGATGGGTAGAGACTGAGTGGATGCTGAGTATAATAGGATTGAAGGATGGAAAGAGGCTGAGTGGATGCTGGTATAGTAGGATGGAGGGATAGATGGAGTCTAAGTGGATGCTGATATAAGATGAAGAAACAGACTGGATGGAGAATGGATGGATGCTGATACAATAAGATAGCATGGAGGTATGGATGGAGGAGTGGGTGGGTTGATTTAGACTCAATGACTGCTACTATAGAAGGATAGAATGATAGATGGTGGGTAGATGGATGGATGCTGAAGAGATGCTGGTATAGTAGGAAAGAGTGATGGATGGATGAATGAATGGAGACTGAATAGATGCAATAATAAGATGGGGGTGATACATAGAAGTGTGTATGGATGAATGGATGGATAGATGGCTGATGGGCAGATACAGAAAATATGAATATAGATATTAGTGTCACATTCCGTTTTTTTGGGTCACTGATTTAAAGCTTTCCTGTATAAGGATGAAAACATTCTGCACACAACAATCTCCTCAATACTTCAATAATTAATTTAAATATTACCCATAGACAAGGTACACATTTTGCTAGCAGCTGAGGAGCAGTGCGCCTGTTTAAATATTCATAAACTAAAATTGGATAAATACTGAGGAAGATGCTCATTAAAAATAAAATACGCATGTGTTTTGTCCTCTATGGCAGTGTCACAATCCTCAGTGCTAGCCAGAGCTCTGTGCAGAACTCCTATTGTAGCTAAGGCTTGGGTATGACTTCCAAAGTATGGGACAGAAATATTTTATCCAGAGAATTGGTCAGACACTTTTTTTCTCTTCAAAGCTAAATTGGCCACAGTTACCTATGCTATGGTTCCTGTACATTGCACTGTTTGTTTTAAATGCATGATTGTGTGTATGTGTGTGTGTAAGTATGCATATGTACAAAAAACAACAACCCGTCACTTACATAGCAATAACACACCGATTGGCCATAACATTCTGGCCAGCCACCTAATATTGAGTAGATCCCTCTTCTGCCACCAAAACAGCCCTGACCCATCGAGGCATGGACTCCACTAAACCTCTGAAGGTACGCTGTGGTGTCTGGCACCAAGCCATCAATAGCAGATCCTTTAACCCGTTGGCATCCGGGGTGTTAAACCCCCTTCCCATCCAGACCATTTTTCAGTATTCAGCACTGCGGTACTTTGACTGACATTTATTCCGTCATGCAGCGCTGTACTGAAATGAATTTTATACCCTTTTTTGGGGACACATAGAGCTTTATTTTGGTGGTATTTATTCACCACTGGGGTTTTTATTTTTGAATATATTAAGGAAAAATTACAGAACATTTTTAAAAAATACAGTTTTCCCTATAATAAATTCTAAAACATTTAATATTACCCAATTTTTTGGTAAAATATAAAAGACGGGGTCACATCGGGTAAAGAGACACCAAACATGTCAAGCCTTAAAATTGCGCACGCGCGCGAAACCTCAAAAAACGACATTACGCAAAATTGGCCATAGGCGACGCATTAAAAGCTTTTACCGCTCATCAGTTTAGTGTTATCAGTGATTGATGGCCCTAAAATGATTGCTCTCACTGCGACGTTCGCTTCAATATGTAAAATGTGTAGCGCAATTGTCATTTTTTTGCGTGCTGGCGCATGCAACGCATATTTACGTTTATATGTGCGTAAACGAAGGGGGGGGGGGTTACGTTTACAGGAGCTGAACTCCCTCCCTCCTCCTTCTCACGCCCTCCCGAGCCGGTCCCGGGCTGCAGATGGGCTAGCGGATCCTGGGATTAAAGGTGAGGGGTCAGGAGGGGGGAGATGGCGGCACTCGCGATCGGGGGGGCTCCCGAAATTCACGCCATACAACTGATCGGCGGCTATAGAGCTGCTGATCGGTTGTATGTGAAACAGCCGTTAACGGCTGTAGAAACAAGCGGGTCTTTCCTGCCCGGGGGCACACGCGAGCAGGAAAAAAAAGCCGTCTGGAGACGGCAACCAGCTGATGCGAGTCTGCCGTCCGTCCGTTTTTTCTTAATGGACGGACGGCAAGAGGTTAAAGTGACACTAAACTCGGGAGTTACATCTTAGAAATGACACCACTTCGAGTTCACTGCTGTGATGGACTATAACTTTAATACAAATGAGTAAACTAAATGTGAGATTGTAGTCCATCATGGAAGTGAGCTTGGAGCGGTGGCTACTTTACAACACACACAAGGACCACTGTCCTTCCTTCCTCCAGAAGGAAGGACAGTGTCAGCACCAATTCAGAGATCATTTTAGGATCTACAGCCGAGTAATACACAAATAAGATACATTTTTGTTAATAGTTAAGGTATTTGAATGCATTTATAAGATGTAACTCCTGAGGTTAGTGTCACTTTAAGTCCTGTAAATTGCATGGTGGGGCCTCCTTCGCCCCCCACGTCCATCCATGAGCCTTGGCCACCCATGATCCTGTCGCCGGTTTACTGCTTTGCCTTCTATGGACCACTTTTGGTAGGTCCTGACCACTGCAAACCAGGAACATCCCACAAGAGCTGCAGTTTTGGAGTTGCTCTGACCCAATCTTTACACTTGCCCACTTTTTCTGCTTCCAAAACATTAACTTCAGGGATAAAAAGTTCACTTGCACATCACATCCCACCCTCTCCCAGGTGCCCTTGTAATGAGAAGGAGGGGGGGGATGTCGGCACTCGCGATCGGGGGGCCTCCCGAAATTCCCGCCATACAACTGATCGGCGGCTATAGAGCTGCTGATCGGTTGTATGTGAAACAGCCGTTAACGGCTGTAGAAACAAGCGGGTCTTTCCTGCCCGGGGGCACACGCGAGCAGGAAAAAAAAGCCGTCTGGAGACGGCAACCAGCTGATGCGAGTCTGCCGTCCGTCCGTTTTTTCTTAATGGACGGACGGCAAGAGGTTAAAGTGACACTAAACTCGGGAGTTACATCTTAGAAATGACACCACTTCGAGTTCACTGCTGTGATGGACTATAACTTTAATACAAATGAGTAAACTAAATGTGAGATTGTAGTCCATCATGGAAGTGAGCTTGGAGCGGTGGCTACTTTACAACACACACAAGGACCACTGTCCTTCCTTCCTCCAGAAGGAAGGACAGTGTCAGCACCAATTCAGAGATCATTTTAGGATCTACAGCCGAGTAATACACAAATAAGATACATTTTTGTTAATAGTTAAGGTATTTGAATGCATTTATAAGATGTAACTCCTGAGGTTAGTGTCACTTTAAGTCCTGTAAATTGCATGGTGGGGCCTCCTTCGCCCCCCACGTCCATCCATGAGCCTTGGCCACCCATGATCCTGTCGCCGGTTTACTGCTTTGCCTTCTATGGACCACTTTTGGTAGGTCCTGACCACTGCAAACCAGGAACATCCCACAAGAGCTGCAGTTTTGGAGTTGCTCTGACCCAATCTTTACACTTGCCCACTTTTTCTGCTTCCAAAACATTAACTTCAGGGATAAAAAGTTCACTTGCACATCACATCCCACCCTCTCCCAGGTGCCCTTGTAATGAGATAATCAGTGTTAGTCACTTCACATGTCAATTGTCATAATGTTATGGCTGATCGGTGGATATATTGTATATATATTTGACCAATAAATGCTTAGAACTCAATAAGAAGGATGTATTTAAATCTAAGCGGCCCAAATGTATAAAAGTAGCACTCAAAAACTTTTATTGATCGCTTTAAACAACAAACATGTCTTTCATTACTTTATTTCGATATTAAACTCTGCATGACTTTACACTATTCTTAAATACAGGTGTTCAGATATACAAAAGCTATGAGGCTGCTGGGAATCGTGTTAGAGTTAGCTGACACACACATGTGGATCCTAAGCCATATGAAATAACTGGAGATGACGTAGTTTGGCTGTTGCTAGTCATTTTACTGCATTGTGCTTTCATGAATGGCAGATCGCCGCCACATCAACAAAATCTCAAAAGAAAATGATTATACTTCAAAGTAGGAGCACCGCTGTGACAATCACACCAGGATACAAAACAACACTGGCAGCGTACTGTATTCTCTTCCCGAGCAGCTTGAATGGCCTTTCAAACTGAATCATGTCAGCAACCCAAGGCTGTGGTTTAGGGCTGAGAGATGTTCTTTATTTTATTGGTCATACTTCTCAACCCCTTACTGTATAGAGTTCATAAAATACTCTTAGGAAACTAGACTTCTGTGTGACATTTACTCTCCCTGCCGCCTCAAGGCCAGGTTCCGCGATAGGCCCCCCCTTCCCATCAATGGAGAATAGCAACCAAATGGCAGGGCGGC